ATATTAAAATAATGGGATATGAAGAACCCGCGAGAAAAAGAAAGATAAAAGTAGCTTCCACCGAATTAATAACAAATATAATCAACTAGCATATAATTAAGCAGAACCTTCTTAAAATAATTCAAAGAAGTTAGAACATTATAAGTGAACATTGTTTTCCTTAGTCTCTTTGTGAGAAACATATTTTAAAGAATAGAGTTTATTATTACATTAAACAAAACTCTTTGACCCGCAAAAATTTGATAAAAAGCTACATTACTCGTTTTGAAGTTATGAAACAATATTTCCACTTTGTGAGCCTCACGCCATATTTATAATTACGGTATGTTATTATTTTTTTTACAAAGTAGTTATTTTTGCAAAATGGAGAAAACTTTGTTCAATCTTGATCAACATATTGTTACGTCTCCGTTTGTTAATTGATTTCCAGTAAATTTGTTCCGACAAAACTTTAGCGACACAAGTCCTTACTTAATAAAACTGGTTTATTCTTTCCGAATATAACTTTACGATACACTTAATTTCAACAATCGCGCTAAAACAAACGCTATAACAACGAACGTGCTCAACTTCAATAATACTCTCTGACTGCAGATCAATTACTCACTGTCTACACACACACATTGTCACATCACGCCGTTACCATCTTATATATATCAGACCAACCCCCAATCCAGTAATTGCTAGAGCACTCCCGAAAGAACGGGATAGTTCTAGAACGTGGCGTGACACTAGTCACGTGACCTCGCTGACGCAACACTGCCCCTACTTAGTATTGCTCGTTCTGAACAATAACGGCACACAATAAACCAATAACACCAACTTAATTAAAATGTACAGAATTACAAACACAAAATTACAATTCAACAAAGTCTCTTAATTTTATGGGACGTATCTTCTTCCGTACTGGTCTCTGTCTCGTTGACTTATGCTTCATGTGGGGTTCATCTGCTTCATCAGTAAATGTCCAATCATCGGTAACAGTCACATCAGTGGTAGTAACTTCATCAAGAGCTTCATCATTTCCCTTCTCAAAACTGAGTAGAGTTTCTTCTTCGGCGTTGGCTTTTTCAGGTGACACCTCTTCAGCAGCGTCATTTGCTCCTTTGTTCACTTTGTCCCAACTGAAATGTCCTGGACCGTGATAATGCCAAAGCCTGTTGGCATGCACCACTTTTGGTTTACCTCGCCGACCACATTTTATCCGGAAAGTCACGTCTGAGAGACGATCCACTATGTCATATGGGCCTTCCCATGGAGAAGACAACTTAGGAGACTTCCCTTTTGTCTTCCTGGGATTATACAACCATACCTTGTATCCGGATGCAAAGCAGACTTCAGTAGATCTCTTATCATAAGTTAACTTCATTGAATCAGCAGTCGTTTTCAAGTTTCTAC